TGCGAATGGCAATAATTTTTTTTTACTTTTCTTTTGAACTCCAAAGACCCTGTAGTTGCAATGTTCTTTATTACACAATATGGTTCAAAATACTATTTTTGTTGATTTGACAAGTACAGCAATCATATTTCCTGATGTGTTGCAAAAGTTGATGCATCCCTGTATTGCATAAGTGCTTACTTGGCAGTGTTCTTGTGATAATCTTGTTACTATACATTATTTGTCTTATGTTTTGACCTCTCTGCGTCTGTGCTTCCGTCCGTGTGTGCATGCGTCCGGACCTTTATCTTAGAAATGCATGGACCAATCACAATCAAACTTCACACATACATCATACATGATATTATACATACGCACATCAATTTGTTTCACGATCTGATTCGAAATGGCCGATTGACGGCCATTTGTGTTCTAAAAATCATCAAAATCAAGCATTTCTCGGCCATACATGTATCTCTGACTTGCTGTGACTGATTATGTTCAAATTTTAAATAATCATTATACATCATGTCATGGATATACAGATGTATTGGTTTGACGATCTTATTAAAAATGGCGGAATGGTGGCCAATTTTGTGCTAAAAATCATCAAAATCAAACATTTCTTGGTTGTTTACAGATGGATTTTGTTCAAACTTGGTAAATACATTAGACATTATAGGACCTTGATGCACATCATTTTGTTTTTCAGATAAGATTCAAAATGGCTGACTGGCGACCATGTGACTGATTATGTTCAAATTTTAAATATTCATTATACATCATGTCATAGATATACAGATATATTGGTTCAAAATTAATGCTGTTCCAGAGCAATATCTCCCAATATGAACAAGTACTTGTTTGACGATCAGATACAAATGTCAGTCATTTAAATGTTAAACAATTATCATAATCATATTCCTGACATGTTTATATTCCAGCAATATTACTATAAACAAAACTATATATCTTAAATTTGATAACTAACAGGGACTGTGCCATGCATGGCTTGTTTTTCTGCTTTTAATAATAATTTAATGGGATATAACCATTCAAAATGGCAACTTAAAAGTGTTTGGACTGTACGAATGTTTGTGCTCATCGACATGACTCCATCACGTGTTGGAGCACTTCTGCATCTAGTGTAAAAAAAGGAAAGTATTTGAATGTATGCATGGCATTGTATGGACAGAAAAGGAAAGTATTTGAATGTATGCATGGCATTGTATGGACAGAAAAGGAAAGTAGGAATACATTATGGGAATGTCGAAATCCAAAACGTTTAAAACAGAATTAGCGAACTTCTTTGTGTGTCAAACCCAGGGGGCAGCCATGTTTGTTTTTAATATTAGTGTACGCTTACGCATGTAATCTTTCCATATTTGGAATTCGTGTTTCCTAATATGATGGGATGAAAATTACAGCATGCTGTAACTTATGGTGTTACGGTTATGTTACGGTTATGTATAATAATGTGTATTATTCAAGTTATCCTACTTCTAATTATGGGAAAACTGTTTCATAATATCTATTTAACAACAGCTTATAATATATATAATTAAAAACATATTATCTAATCAGAATGATGTATTATGTCAATTGAAATGCTGATATAATATAATTATCATCGATGTATCATATCTATTTAACTAATAATTGTGTTTCACAGATGGGCAAATCTATGCATGGGGTGCAAATGATCACGGCCAGCTGGGACTTGGATCCAAGGAATCAATGAGTAAACCAACATTAGTTTCATCGTTACAAGGTCTTCCTGTTAAACAAATCACATGTGGGAGATCACACAGCTTTGCTTTATCTGTCTCAGGAGCAGTATTTGGATGGGGCAATAATTCTTGTGGTCAGCTAGGACTCAATGATGAACGAGGTAAACATTCTGTTCCTGTAAACTCTGCCTAACCTTTTCACCATCATACGTTCTCGCCCAATTTTTTTTTCACTCGCTTTGTTAAATTTGACCGTACAATTTCCGTTTTTTTTTTACCGCGCAAATCCGGAAGTATCCGCTCACGCACTCACTCGCCTGACATCGCAACTGCCCGCATTTACAGTTCATTAACTATTGTTTCATGTACAAGTGTATCATTTTTGTTTTTATGATGTTAAAAGAAGAATAAATACAATCAGAAATTTATAGAACGGCTGTTGAAAAAATACAGTGGATCACACTGCCATATAAAATTTGTAATAATACATATGCGTAGTAATACAGCCAAAACAAATTCAGCTTGGACATTCAGTTGTGAGACATGACAAAATAAACAATGCCAGCGATAGATTTCGAGAATGAAAGAACAAAATAAATGCAATCAAAGGCGCCGACCACGCACGTTGGAAATAAATAGACACATTGCCACGAGAAATCTCGCCTGCATCTTTTACTCATGCAAACATACACACGTGTTATTTCTGTATATTGAATACGTTGGCAACGGAAGGAACAAGTTTAAATCATCTTTGTATTAACACAACTTGAAGGCAACAGTCTCACAATAAATACATGTTTATCAATTATCAAACTAAACATTCAATGAAGCGAACTGTAATGGTTAAGACGAAAAGACAAGGCTAAGACGAAAAAAATGAAAAGTATGATTATTCTCGTCTACTACACGCCCTGGAACTACACGTTCAAGTATCCAACTTCCCAATACAAAACATGATTAGTATCAGCAATAATTTCTAGTACTGCCTAGATAATTGCGTATTATTAGTTGACATCAGACATATCCCTGTACAGGATTTTTTGAACAATGTCTCAAATTTCTGAAAGAATATTAATTAAATAAGTTGGGATGAATATGAATTGAATATCCATTTTTTGAAAAATCAGCTAAACAGTTTACCACCACGATTATGGTGAATTGGCGAGTTATCAACGAAGACGACCAGAGGTCTCCAGTCATGAGCTGGCTGGTTTGAATTTATCCAATTTTCCAGTGATGAATATTGCGTTCGAGTTGAGTTACTAGTAATTACAAGCCTGATTTACATTTTTCTTGTGGTGTTTTTCTTCAATGTATTAAATATAAGTACGTTGGCAAATAGCATAATTATATTGCGGGAATGAAAGTCTGATGAGACTGTGTCACAACACATTCTATTTATTTCCAACGCGTGTGGTCGGCGCCTCCGATTGCGTTTATTTTGTATTTTTATTTTCAAAATGTATCACTGGCTGCATTTATTTTGTTTTATGTTTTCTTCAACAATTACAGCAAGTCTCAGAAGTATTGGGGCAGCCAATTTGCAAACTCGCTAGCAAATTGGCTAACTGCTTTGGTTTTGACTAAACTATTGGCTTTTGAATATCGCTGGCACCGTCTGTTGGTCACACTCACTCTAGGAGAATCTATATAGCAGAAGGGGACGGTCTTACAGTTGGCTGCTGCCAATCCAATAATTCGTCGCCGCATGTACATGTACAAGCGAGTAATCGTCACTGTCATTATACTAGTAGTTAGAGTCCAGTTGATTTGTAGCTATTCAGCTATGCGATGATATAAATACAGGTTACAGTTCTACTTGCAAACGTTACAATGTGTCAAGTGATTTGAAGGCGTCTTTGTCCCGCCTTCCCAATACAGAGAAGCAATACGCGTTGTATTTTGAATTGTCATTAAAACCTAAATTTATTACAAATAAAAACATTAGTTTATACATACAATGTACGATCATCGTTACTCCAGTGGTCGGTTGGCAAGTGGACAATGTTTCTGAAGCCAGCCATAGCAGAAGCGAGCGTGTGAACAAAAGTGGTCGAAAAACAACGAGCGGTCGGAAATTAAGCGATAAGCTGGCGGGAAAAAAAGCGATAAAAGCGGGAGGTTGGGCGGAATGAGTACTGTACTTTCTAAATTGTTGGTCAAAATTTACTGTGTGGATGCTTTTGGTGCATAATTTTGGTTCTTTTTCATGAACCCAGCTATGGATGAATATGTCCTCCATACATTTACATACTAGGCTTAGTGACTAGGTTGAGTGACTAACTGAAAACAAAGGATTTAATTTCATACTGATTTGTTGCCCATCCAGCTTTATTTTGCATGTGTAATCTGACCGTTACCCAAACTAACATTATCGTTGTAGTATTTAGATTTCAAGCTTTTCTCAGTGTCTTTTTTCATATCGATTTTTATACTCATATTATTTTTATGTCAAGGCTAGATGACAGCAAGAAATATGAACACAGAATTTTTGAATATATTTGTCTCCATGTTGCGTGTATATTTTAAAGCGTCTACGTTAAATGATAATTTAAAAAAAAAATTGTAACAGTGGCATCATATATATGTATGCATAAACATAATAGAATTGTTTGTTTGTTTTGAGGAAGAAACAAAGACAGTGCTATTTTGACCGAGCATGAGATCACTTTTACAAATTCTGGCTGACACACTAAACATTTGTGGCTATATACATACATACATATATACACAAGTACGTTTTATCTAATGTATGAAACTGGTGTTAGTAGTGAGATTGTTTGTATTTCATGTAAACAATTTATGTATTTTACGCGTGTTGAATACACATGTTGTGACAACCATTGTCATTCATGAAATTTACCAGCATATTTTTTACTCTCGTATGCACAATGGGAATCTTAGCAGTTAGTTTGTCTGTATGTTTGTGTGTGTGTGTATGTATGTGTGTCCGTCTGTACACCTTATATCTCAAGAACCATACATCGGTTTTTGATGAAACTTAGTGCATAGATGCTCTGGATCAATGTGCAGATTTGTTTAGGTTTTGGTGATAATCCATGCATATTAATTACCTAATTTGCATAATGATTAGTCATTTTTCGGCTTTTCCACTGACAACTCAAGTACTAATCATCAGATTTCGATGAAACCTCGTACATGGATGTCATTAAACACTGCACAGATCTGATAGTTATTAGGGTAATATAAGTACATATTAATTACCTAATTTGCATAATTAATTGATTTTTCAGCTTTTGGTATTTCAAGTAGTAATCATTACATTTCAATGAAACTTAGTACATACTCAAGAACTATGCAGATTGATTGTTTTTGGGTAAATATTTGTGCATATTAATCATCTAATTTGCATAATTAGTTAATTTTCAGCTTTTCAGATATCTCATCTACTAATCGTTACATGTCAATGAAATTTGGTACATAGATCCACTGGATATGCAGAGATCTGATTAGTTTTTGGGTAAATAATTGTGCATATTAATCACCTATTTTGCATAATTAGTTAATTTTCAGCTTTTCAGATATCTCAAGTACTAATCGTTACATGTCAATGAAATTTGGTACATAGATCCACTGGATATGCAGAGATCTGATTAGTTTTTGGGTAAATAATTATGCATATTAATCACCTATTTTGCATAATTAGTTAATTTTCAGCTTTTCAGATATCTCAAGTACTAATCGTTACATGTCAATGAAATTTGGTACATAGATCCACTGGATATGCAGAGATCTGATTAGTTTTTGGGTAAATAATTGTGCATATTAATCACCTATTTTGCATAATTAGTTAATTTTCAGCTTTTACACTGACTACATGGATGTCATAAGACTCTGCACAGACCTGATAGTTTTTAGAGTAATATAAGTACATATTAATTACCTAATTTGCATAATTGATTTTCAGCTTTTGATACTTAAGTACTAATTAGAACATTTCAATGAAGCTTGGTTCATAGATGCTCTAGGACAATAGACAGATCTGATTAATTTTGGGTTAAAATCTGTACATATTGATTACCTAATTTTCATAATTAACCGATTTTAAGCTTTCACACATATCTGAAGTACTACCGGTAATTTCAAGGAAACTTGGTACACAGATGGTCTGTTACTCAAATCTGTTCATATTAATTTCCTGATTTGCATAATTAGTTTCCAGCTTTTCCATCAATTAATTAATTTGAATTAATTGTTAATGTGTTTCCAATACTCTCAGCACACATGAGTTCTTTCTAAGCTTTCTTTGATTTTGAGATTGTAGTTCATGATGATTTCATATCCTTTCATCCATCTCTCAACAAACCTGTGTGGTCAGTTCATAAGCTTGTATCTTGAAGATCATATCTAATTAGACATGATAACAAAGTTATTGACCAATCAGAATCATTGTTACAAATGTTACAATTTTAAATATGACATTATTGTGAGCCGATTGTGATGATGACATACAATCACCGTTGCTCTGAGGTGTTTTTAGCCAATGTTTTCACCATCCTTGCGAGTGTATATGTACATTGAGGAAAGTTGCAACATGTAGATATTAAACCGAACGAGATCATTGCTCTCCAGGCACCAGCCATGATTACCAGCACTTTGGTTATCATATCTTGGTAGTTGTCTATTGCAGTTGAACCGTTTGATGATTGGTGAATTCAATCTCGAGTTGAACATTGCTTTCCTATAACCAGTGTATGTGTGCATGTGGATTAGATAACTGTTGAGTGTTGAGCAGATTTTCAATTCACTGCATGGAAGCTTGTTGACACCATGTCTTGATATGTACATCACGTAGCGTCATCTCTGGCACTTGCTTTGACAATGTTTATATTAAGTGTCAGGAACTGTAGCCTGGCACACACATATAACTAAAAAATGTCATTGCTTCGTATTAAACTTATTAAAGAAAGTCAACACTAGTTAAAAAAATTTCTTGCACTGGTTATGTCATTTTATACATTAATTTTTAATTAGCATCTAAGGCATATAAAAATATAAGTGAGAACAACCTAAAAAAAATTATCTACAGTCGTATGCCCGAGACCCATCATTACACAAAAACCAAATTATAATTTTTGACTCCCGTGTGCGAAGACATACCCTGTCTGTATGTCTCT